AGGGTACGCAAGTAAAGAGGTCGCGTCACTTCTCTACTTCGAAAAGCGTTACTTAGACGCTAGGCGCTAAGAACTTTGACACGCTCCGCCCACCGCTCGATATCTTGTCTGCGTCGCTAACTTGATCTGCTATGCTCTCTCTACTCGTACTTCTCTAGCGCTCTCCGCGCTCACATTATCTCTCATCTCCCTGCCGGCCTTTTGAACTTCTCCACAGCGTAGAGCAAAAGGCTCGTATTTCCTGTGTATTTCACGATTTTTTTCCTTTTTTCTCCACTGGCGGTCCACTTCCTACCCCTACTTTCACATTTGAGTGGAATTACCTCATAATTTAATCCTGAATCTTGCCTTTAATGGACGATCACGTATAGGAAAGGGATGGGTTAGAAGAAAAAAGTTCTGGGGACACAATAACGGGCGCAATCACAACTAGGAAGACTGCCGTAAATGAAGTAGTAATTCGCTGAAAGGGTATTCCAAAGCACATTTTGCATCCTATACGCTGAAGACGTGGGAAAAGACCCTTAAAGTACTGTTTCTAATATGAAAGCATTATCATTATCGTTGAATTTTAGAGGCGCGGGTCACGATTATAACTTCAAACAAATTTCCCCTTTGAGTCATTCAGCAGGACCCCTGATCACTGTCGCCTTCGGGAGGTAACGTGTTGCACAGACAGGTCAAACATACCGCTTGAAGCGACAGCCTCAGCAGGGTTTCACCTTCGACACTAATGGTGTGGAACGATGCGCTAGCCCTAGTCAAGAACATAAGAAGTGTGACTGAACAAAAAACTCACCTTGAAAGCCGCTAGAAAGGAGCTGATAGCTTCGAAGTGAGGCGTGGTTGCTGATAAGTCGAGAGGATTCCTAGCGGTATTCCAAGATGAGTTTTTTGTTCAGTCACAGTTTTTATGTTCTGACAAGGGCTAGCGCATCGTTCCACACCATTGCTGTGTAAGGTAAAAACCTGCCGGGACTGCTGCTCCAAATTGAAATCTTCCTTCAAAGAAGGTGAGCGATGTCTTTACCAGAAACGCAGCCCTCCCAAATCACCAACTGAGCTGTTGGGTGGAGCGGTTGAGCGGTTTACGAAGCGTCATGGTTTTCAACTTTGGACCTGCGCTAACACACCACCTTTTGCTGGAGAATCGTGGATTGCTTTCTTGGCCGCTTGGCTAGTGGGACTTTCGATGACGAGTACTTCCTTGGAGTGCAGCCGCTTCATCGTGATTTCTGTTTTCAGACTTCCACATGGAAATTTTTCATACAGATAACTGCGACTGCTGCCTTGAGATAAGTGTTTGAAAGCACTGCTCACAATTATTAGGTCGGAAGGAAAGTTTTGAAACACCCCGCAGCCAAAACTTGAAATTTATTTTTTATCCTCCATTTCTTTCTAAGACCCGTAATATTTGACCATCAGACTCAGCAACACTACTAGCCACTCAGCATCACCAGTGGGAAATACCGTCAAAATTCCGAAAAATTTGACACCATCACCATCCCCCATAATTTTCAAGTCGAGGCATTGTAACTCCAGTTTCCCATACTCCAAGCCGCTGCTGCTGTCGCATATGGTTGAAGCAGACAGTACTCTTGTCTTCGCCAATGGCCACATGCCACGGCCTATCGTTGCTGCTGTGCGACGAGAAGTACATGTGCAGATGTCCACCCGGTGAAATCGTGCGGTACCTATTGACCACATTTCCAAGACCTGTCAAACTCCTGAAGAGCCCAGAGGACGGGCTTCTGGAAGCACTCAAGACGCTCCGTCAGCTTGTGTGACGATTGCCTAGAATCACCTTTGATTACAGCGGTGACGAGGTCAAGATGGGCAGTAGTCGTGTGTTGCGTCAGAAAGATCAAAGTCTTCGCTGCGGAGCGTTCGAGCCAAGCTGAAACCGCCATGTGAGAGAACGTGCCCAGGCCTATCCCGGGACTGATCCTGACCACCTCTGTGGCAGATCTCTCTAGGCGGAGCTCTTACAGAATGAGCGCTCGGAGTGTCTGGCGGGAAAAGTTGATTTAGTGCCATGCAAACGCCATTATTGGGAAAGCTGATTTGATCACCGTACGTAGCACGGTCCACTCCTACTATATACCACCCATGGAAGATTCCAGAGCATTCGGGAGAAATCCAGAAAGAGCGCGAATTGAGTGTTAAGGAACTTTCCTTCCAACCTAATAGATTAGAGCCATTTGAAAAGATTGAAAACTCCTGAACAAAGATTTGAAACCGCTATATCTTTGTGAGTGGCAAGTGGC